TCTGGTATACTTTGACTATTGTTATCTATACATCTATACTAATAAATAAAATTGAAGTATCTGTTTGTAATGTTAAAACAACAGCTTTTATCCAAATGTATATGAAAGTAGGTACATACAATATATACGGTACTTATAAGGAAAAAACCATTTTGATTTTTTTTATTAATTGTCTGTCTAATTGTTCCAGGTATTCTTCGAAACGGATGGATTGATTTTGATGGAACTTTCACTGGCAGATACCTGATGTTAGAGGAATAACTTAAGGTATTTTTATTTTAGAAAAATAAGGACGAGCGTATTTAGGGGTAAGTCGCTAGTTTGAAGTAAAGTAAGCAGATTCAAACGTATCATTTATAAGATTTGGCAGTTCTCTATCACATCGAATTTTCTTAGTACTTATAACAAGATTTTAACCCTTTCACATACAAATGTGCTCATTTAATCAGACACGAATAGGATTCTTGAGGTACGTTCTTACTTTGTATTGGATTGAAAGATATTTTCCTAAAAGAAGTTTATAAAATACTATTTAAGTGTTCACGGTTTCTTATATAGTTTTTGATGAGTTAATGAACCTTATTATTCAAGTGACTTGACGACATGTTTGGCTTAGTTTGTAGTGACCCTACTCGCTGTGCCAGCGGTCGCGGGTTCGAGTCCCGCTGGGGGCATTCATTTGTGATGAGCCCGAATGTTTGTACTTCAGTCATGGGTGTTTATATTTATAATATGTAATTTAAAGTATATATTATGTGTAATGTATCAACTATCTGGTATCCATAACACAAACCTCGTAGCTTACCATGGAACTAGATGGTGCTATGTAATGTTAGTTAATGTCCCAACATATTATTTATTTATTTATACGGATGTATCTAATATATTTAAACAAGCAAATCTTGTATATTTATTTGTTTATTTATACCGGCGATCTCGGAAACGGCTCTAACGATTTTGCAGAAATTTCGTGTGTGGGGGTTTTCGGGGGCAAAAAATCGATATATTATAGTTGGTTAGTCTTATGTCTGTGAAAACGCGTGATTTTGAGTGTTTATGTGGTTTTTTTAGCATTATTCCACGCAAAATACTGTCGCAAATGTCGCACGCTGATGGTGGTCAAGCGGCCAAGGCACAAGATTGACAATCACAGGTGTCCGATTTCGAATCCCGTTCGGATACAAAGTTTTTGTTTTGTTCTGTTTTTTTTTGTATTTATTCAAGTTTTTAGTTTTTTTTTACCTAAAAATATGAACTCTGAGCGAAACTCGTTCACCAAGGTACTAAGATCTGAATTCAAGTACCAGATCGAGCCCAAAGAGTGTAAGCTATTCTGTCAAGGAATTTAAAAAAGCATCCTAGTATAGGCAATCACTTCGTATACCTACCTGTGTGTGTGTGTGTGTGTGCGTGCGTGCGTGCGTGTGTGCCTGCGTGCGTTCGTGCGAGCGTGCGGGCGTGCGTGCGTGCGTGTGTGTGTGTGCGTGTGTATTTATATAGATAATAACACCTTTATCCATTTTTTGTGAAAGTTTGAATTTGTATTTAAAAATAAAGTTATAACTCATCCGATTGTTCTTTATTACACTGTCAATCTTCTTTATAAATGCTTAAAGCCCTTTCAAACGAACATATTACTTTGAACGTTATTCTTTTATATGTTAAAATATGATTTTTATGTCAGTAATACATTGAGAGCTTTATGCGGTAATAATTGATAAGTAGCTTCATTTCATGTTGCTATGAAAATAAAGCACATAAGGAAATAACACTAGAAATCGAAAGAATACGATATCGATAAACTAATGAACGCTCAAAGTAAAAGCTCTTATTATTACTAATGTTTATAAGATTCTAGATATAATAATATTTTACTAGATGTATAAAATAAGAAAAAATTAAATGCTACATATCAGTGCTTATTTTTCTAAACGACCAATTTACCAACAGTTTTGTAATACAGAATTATTGATTTTTAAATATCAATTCTATTGTTATAAATTTAGCCGTAAATTGTGTTTTATCTATAAATTAATATAAATCTTGGAATAGAGGTTTGTTTTTTAATAGAGAAAAAAACTCCCTACTGTAAAGTACAATAAGAATTGGTAGTTTGAATAAAATAAGCACTAAAGCGATAATACTGTGTCCATTATGTAATACTAGCAGCTCTTTATCCATCCAACTATCTCGACACAAAAAAAAACACACCAATCCGTTACTCTGTTTCGACGTGAAAGAAAGACAAACAAACGAACACACTTTCACCTTTATAATATTTGTATGGACCTTAGTATATTATGTCACTCAGATTTTAATTCAACACCTTTCTTCTGCAGCTTTTGCGCATCTGTTGTTCTGATAACTATTCTATTTTTTAATGACAATAGAATCACATCTTGTCTAAGGCAGAATAGAAAGCCTATCTAGGGGTAATGTAGTTAATTCATATATTAAACTTTATTCAACTAGATTTATTCAAAAGTGCTTGTAATAAATCTAATTGGATAAAGTTTATTTAATTTCATTAATTATTGCTGAAAAAATTTCAAACTGGGATCTGAAATTTCGGAGCATCGAAACTTACTAACTTTACGTTTAAATATCATCTCGTCTTGATCATCTATACTAATATTATAAAGAGGTAAAGTTTGTGAATTGTGAGTTTGTGACGTTGTAGAGGGTAATCTCTGGATCTGCTGATCCGATTTAGATGAAATTTGGTAAGAAGATAGTTTGAGACCCGGGAAAGGACATAGGATACTATTTATTCCGGAAATAATCCTTTAAGAGGGTGAGAATGGGGATGACAGTTTGTGTGGGGAATCAACCTAGGGACGAACTCGAGCGAAGCGAGGGTGAGTCGCTAGTTTTTGTATACAATTTCATAGCTTCAATAAAGCTTTTAAATAAAACTAACTAAATAGGTACAATTGTGATTTTTTTATTAATGTTTTGTTTGCAGCTCTACTAGTATAGAAAGTACGTTGAAACGTACCCAATATTATCCAGGACATGAGCTATTTCCACTACAAATTTCACTCAAACTCGTTAAGCCATTACAAAAAAAGTACAAAGGCAATCAATTATTCATTCATAAATCCCCACATTCTATATAATAATTACACTACGGACTTAAACGCGTGAATTTGTTAGTGCCTATATACCTTATTCGCGACGTTTCGACTGGGTTGCACCAGTCGTGGTCACGGACAAACAGTTTTAAGTCCCGTAGAGAAGCTACGAGTATCATATAATGATGGAACGCGAAAATTTAAAAAGCTTTACTCCACATTCTAACATTACTATGTTACAAAATTTTAAAGCATAATATTGAATAGTCGGCCTTTTAATCACTAATTTATCAGATTTGCCTCAACTTTGTTAATAACTACTGTTTGCTTTCATACAAGTAATTAACGAGGGTACGGCGATTATAATCCTTTTAATTTTAAAACAAAAATTTTATAAAATAAGATACTTAATTTCTTATATTTGAAATATTTTTTATTGATATTTCTTTACTTTCTTAACGGTTTCTTGTAAAATACCTAATTTTAAGCCAGTTTCACTTAGAATACTGACATCTTATTAAAATTGTAAGCAGTAAGTTAAATTATAAGTAGATATATGTTTAAGGATATAATGCAGGTTAAAGCCCAGGTCTCGCAGCACTGTTTATATAAATAAATAAATAAATATGTTGGGACTTTAACTCACAGCACCATCTAGTTGATATAGACGACTGAGAGTGTTATAAACGTAAGAGTAGACAAATATAAATCAGAAAGCTTCGAACTGCTAAGCTATCGGGAGTTACACGTGTTATTGTGAGTCAACCATAAAAGATAGACATATGCTGTCGTGGGATATTTTTTATATAATTTTAAGGAAAACATTTCCGTCATACATGATTTCTGTGTAGCTTTAACCATTAAGGTTGCACACGCGACGGAAGCTTAAAAAATGGAGTAACTTCTCCCGTTTTCCCAACATTTCCCTTCACTGCTCTGCTTCTATTGATTGTAGCGTGATGAAAAGTATACTTTAACCAGCTCAGGAGTATGAAAAATAATTGTACCAAGTTTCGTTAAAATCCGTCGAGTAGTTTTTGTTTCTATAACGGTTATACAGACAGACAGACAGACGGACAGACAGACAGACAAAAATTTTACTGATTGCATTTTTGGCATCAGTATCGATCCCTAATCACCCCCTGATAGTTATTTTGGAAATATATTTCATGTACAGAATTGACCTCTCTACAGATTTATTATAATATAATATATTATAAATATAAACACCCAAAACTGGAGTACAAACATTCATGCACATCACACAAATGAATGCCGCCAGCAGGACTCGAACCCGTGACTACTAACACAGCAAGTAGGTTCACTATAAACTGAGTCAAATGTGTTGTCAAATTCAGAAAGAAGTTTTAAACTGACTAGTTTTTTCAAGCTAATATTGGCAAAATATGCTTCTAAAGTCATAAACATGGTGTCCGTTAACCTCTGATTTTTAAAAGGGATGATAGACCATTCACCACATTTTTTATGAAAATTATTATTTTTAAACTTTTACTTTGTTTAATTAAGTATTTTATTTTACTTTTGATTAAAAAATAGTATATTTAAACAAAAAGTAAATGATTCGTACTTCGAAAGTCAGTCTCGCATTTGTCGATTTTTAATTGAAAACATGAAATAAAACCTCATTCCTAATTGTAATAACAACACGAGCATTGGCTATCGACTGACTTTATTTAAAAAAACTTATATTTACCCACCAAGAACAATATACAATATAAACCTATTATTTCATACTACCTTACATCTTTCCCCCTCTAATTACCTAGATTTTATAGAAAAACTAAAGATACTTATAGAAATCATAAATAACAATATAAACTAAAGATATTTGTAAAAATAAACACAATTTAAGCGTTGCTTTGCTGCTAATAATAACTACATTAAACTCCTTTATTAGTTTATTTAGGTTTTTTTGTCCTTCTGTATTATAGCTCTTTTATAAGCACGTATAGCTCTGGCAGAAGCGTCCAGTGGGGGTGGAGGCGTCGCGGGCTCGCCCGCCGGTCCTGGAAGACCCGGGGAGCGTAGTGCCCGCCCCGCGTTAGCACCCGTCTCGGGCGCTTCACTACATTGATCATCTGCATCGTCATCAACCCCAGGCGTCTGTTCCTCATTCGCGTCCGCACTAGCTGTCGCTGATGTTCGCGCCAATGAATATCGATTTTTTTCTTTTCTATTACCTAACTGTATCATTTGGTCTTGGTGACGTCTCCACTCTACTCCTCCCCCTACATCAACCTTGAATGACACGGGCCCGGTTTTCTTGGTGACCGTCCCCTCTGACCATTTTTCCCCTTTAGTGGTATAATCCCTAGTCAATACTGTATCACCGAGCTGCAGCTCGCGATTAGTACCTCCTGCCCTGTCGACCTGTTTGCTTTGTGCTTCCAGCACCACTGCCCCCACGTCTGGTCGTAACGCGTCGAGTCGACCCCGCAGCCGTCTCCCAAGTAACGCGACCGCTGGCGACACTGCCGTAGTAGTGTGTTCACAATTACGATATTGAAATAAAAACTTACTTAATGCTTGCGATATATTCTCCCCTAAATGTACCGCTCTTTTAATTACTTTTTTAATTGTTTTAACCGCGTTTTCAGCAGCGCCATTCGCCTGCGGTCTATACGGTGCAGATGTCGAATGCTTAATACCATTTTTATAACAATATTCTTTGAACATTTGGGATGAGAATGGAGGGCCATTATCGGTAACGAGCTGTGAAGGAAGTCCGAATCTGGCAAAAATCGATCTAAACGCCTCAATAGTGGAAACAGCGTCCGTACGATTCATTTGTATGACCTCAATCCACTTAGAATACGCGTCTATAATAATTAAAAATCGCTTGCCGTCACAATCTGCAAAGTCGGCATGTAACCGCGTCCACGGAGACGCCGGAAACTCCCAGGGGTGTAGCGGGGCGCGCGGAGGGGCGTCGCGAACAGAGTTGCATGCGTCACACGCGCGACTGACATCTTCAATGTCTTTATCTATACCCGGCCAATACACGTAACTGCGTGATAAGTTTTTCATTTTATTGCTACCTAGATGACCTACGTGTAACTCATCAAGTACTTGTTTACGTAAGACCGTGGGAATAATTATTCTATATTTATAAATTAAGCACCCTAACTCTAATATTATGTCCTGTCTACGGTTATAATACGGTTTTTCTTCATCACAGCTCGCTCTCGCTGGCCAACCAAACATTACATAACCACATATTTTGCTTAAAATGTTATCTTTTTTTGTTTTTTTACTAATGTCTTTAAAGTTAACCGGCGTACATTCCTCGAGCAGCTTAACATAACTCACTGGGTCACTTGGGTCACACTCGCGTAGCAGTGGTAAGCGAGACAGCGCGTCAGCTGGGCCGTTTTGACTTGATCGCACAAACTCCACGGAAAAATCGTACGCTGCGAGATGTGCTGTTTGTGGAATCCCCCCTTTAGCTCCAAAAATATGAGTTAATGGTTGGTGGTCTGTGCGCAGTACAAAACGCCTGCCAAATAAAAATTGATGGTGTTTCGTTATACCAAAATATATAGCCAAAGCTTCCTTATCTAGCTGACTATAATTTTTTTCAGCCACATTTAACGTCCGCGAGACACAGCTGACGGGCCGCTCGCTGCCGTCGTCGTACCGGTGCGCTAACACTGCGCCCAGACCGTACGCGCTGCTATCCACCGCTAACACGAGTTCGCGTCCTTCCTCGTAGTGCGCTAGTACTCGATCGCTTAACAATATGCGCTTCGCTTCACAAAAAGCCTCTTCGCACTCTTCCGTCCATAACCAAATGACCCCTTTTTTTAATAAATTGTGTAAAGAATGTAACACAATACTCAAATTTGGAATAAATTTTCCGTAATAATTAATTAACCCGAGAAAACTTTTTAATTGCGTTACATTATCTGGTCGTGGTGCATTTGTTATTGCTTGTAATTTTTTTTTATCCGGATGTAAACCTAATTTATCAATAACAAACCCAAGATATTTAACATATTTTTGTAAGAATAAACATTTATCTAATTTAATTGTAAACCCCATGTCACGTAACCGTCCAAGTACAGCTCGTAAATTTTTTAAGTGGAGAGTCCTGGACCCTCCCGTGCAACATATGTCATCCAAATAGACCACGCACCCTGGAATGCCTCGCAATGTCTCTTCCATTAATTTTTGGAATTTTTCTGGGATACAAGACAGTCCAAAGGGCGTGCGACGGTATACAAAGGTCCCTACGTGTGTTGTAATTGCCGTATAGGGTTGGGACTCTTCACTTAAAATCACTTGTTGGTAAGCCTGCCTCAAGTCTATTTTTGAGTACTCCTCCCCCCCGCTCAGGACCGCGAACAACTCCTCAATACGAGGCAACGGGTAGTAATCACGTTTTAACTTAGGATTTATAGTTATTTTATAGTCCCCACAGATCCGTATGTCACCGTTCTCTTTGATCACAGGAACTATAGGAGTCCCATACTCAGAATGATCCACCCGGTATATGGTACCCTCCGCCTCCAACCGCTCTAGCTCACGCTCAACACGCGCCTTCAGCGCGAGCGGCACGGGCCTCGCGCGTACATATACCGGCTCCCTATCGGTCAGCTGTAATTGGATGGTTTTTTTACAAGTACCTAGCTGTTCACTAAACACTTCGGGAAACTCCTCCCTAAGGCAGCTCACGAACTGATCGTCCGTTATTTCATTAAAACTAATTTGTTTAATTTTTAGAGCGCGTATCCACTCCCGACCTAGTAACGGCCTGCCGCCGTTCTTTATAATATATAAAGATAAGTTATTGGCCCTCTCGTTACCGAGAGACACGTCAACCGATATATATCCGAGCGATTCAATTCGTGAGCCGGAATAACATTTTAATAATAAGTTATCCGAAACAATATGTTTGTGTGTGAAATTTTGTTGATAAAACTGTTCACTCACAGCGGAGATACGACTACCTGTGTCTATTTCACATTCGATCGGTCGTCCGTCCATCTTCACAATAACTAAATATGGTTTATTACCTTTAGCCGCCAACTGAATGTTGAAAAACTCGTCCTCCGATTTGTCGGTCTCACTCACATATTTATGTCGCCCGTACGATCGATTACGCACCTCTTTACACATAACCTTTAAATGGCCCCGCTGATTACACTCGTCACAATTATACTGCGCAAACCGGCACCTATCCGCGCGATGTCCGCGCCCGCACCGCCAACACCGCAGCTGCGCGTCGACGCTGCGCGGCGCAGCCCTCGGCGCTTGCGCCGGCGCGCCGCCGCCGCCGCCGCCGGGCCGCGCGCGCCGCGCGCTCGCTGCATGCAGGCCCTCGCCCGCCGCGTCGCTGCCCGCACCCGAGGTCCCTGTCGACGTTCTCGACCCGCTCACCTCCGCGTGCCTCTCAGCAGCCTCTAGAGCCATAGCCAACTCGACTGCTTCTCGGTATTTAATATTTCGCTCGGCAAAAATACGCGACCTCATCGCGTCACTAGCCAGGCCGGAAACAAATTGGTCACGTAAATTTTCCTCCAATGTAGTTCCAAAATTACAAGTGGTCGCTAAGTGTTTTAAGCACTGTAGGTATTCTGACAACGGTTCGCCGGTGCGCTGTCGCCGGAGACGAAATACGTGGCGCTCGGCGATCTCGGATCGCTGTGGCTCCAGATGTTCACTCACAAGTTTAACTAATTCGTCGAATGACTTTGTTTCCGGGTGACTCGGAGAACACAAATCACACATAAGCGAATAAGTCGCCTTCCCGACTACCGTTATTAACAGTGATACTTTTAACTCCTCTTTCACTTCGTTTAATAACATGTATTGTTTAACGCGTCGTATATACGCTGGCCACTCTTTTGAATCTAATTCGAATTGTTCTAATTTTCCGATAGGCATGATTTATTATTTAACACTGAGCACAACCGAAACACTTAAAAGACTTTTTTTTTTTTTTTTTAACCCGCCTCGTCGCCAGTGTAATAACAACACGAGCATTGGCTATCGACTGACTTTATTTAAAAAAACTTATATTTACCCACCAAGAACAATATACAATATAAACCTATTATTTCATACTACCTTACACTAATCAAAAATCAAAATTTTTTTTATCCAATTAAACCAACTAAGTAGCTTAAAAAACTAAACGAATAAAATATTTTGTCACTTTTAAATATAATCCAGCTTATGCATTATATGGAATTTGACATTTGATTAGGAGCGCGTTGCAGCTCACAGCCACGTGTGTAACATACGAAATGTCGGGTGCTGAAAATATTAGAATACGCGGCATGAATTTATTAAACTGGTATAAATTTATTTCGAAATATCTTATCTTTAAATGAAAATCTATCTATTTTAAACGAAAAAAGTGAAATATGGCCCCTAGTCCATTTTCCACTATATAATAGTGTGTATTCAGCCCTTTCTAACGTCCCACCGCTGGGCACGGGCCACCCTTCAATATGAGAGGGATCAAGCCGTAGTCCACTACGCTGGCCAAGTGCGGGTCGGCGGACTTTACATGTCTCTCGATAACTTGCTAGGTTCTCTTAGACATGCAGGTTTACTCACGTTGATTTCCTTCACCCTAAGACAAGTGGTAATCATGTTGGAAATGATTCGCACATGAAAATATCAGAGTTGCGAGACCCGGGATTTAAACCCGTTTCATTCGGCTTTCCAAGCAAGCGCGTTATCACTGGGCTACCATTGCCTTGCCCTTTGCCTATATCGTAGTATGTAAACAAAAACATAACTTTATAAGTTACACAAAGTATTATTTAGTATGAGTAAAATAAATGTATATACAAGAACCCAACAAGAAGTTTAGGGAATTGTCTATACATATAATAATATTGTAACTAAGCCGAATCTGTACATTAAATATTTTTGGTAAATCTTACTGAAATTCAAATTCAAAATATTTTATTCAGCATTAAATTATTACAATTTTTTACTAAACGTCATGAGTCTACTATATCTATATGAAATAATACTTGAAATAGACATTATTATCGATACAGAGGCCGAATCTATAGTTTTTTGAATTCCTGTCAGTCTTTCTGTCTGTTACCGCATCACAGAAAAACATCAACAAACACTAGAGAGATTTTGATGAAATTTGTATAGCGATAGCTGGTAATCCGGGTCAACATACATGATACTTTTTACCGCGGAAAAATATCTCATTTCCGAGAAAAAATACAAAAACTGCAAAGTAAGAGTATACTAATAAGTCAAACCTAAGAATTTGGTTTCGGTCATCTGAACGGGGGCGGAGCCGCGGGCAATGCTAGTGAGTTAAATATAATCGCAGACGTAATTAGTTCCTTCTGATGACAGTTTTTGTTACACAAACAAATATTATTGCGAGGCCAAACAAAATTTTGGTATGTAATTACGTTGGACAAAAAATTGAATACGCAAGTCAGAGTTTTTTGTGGTAGGCAACGAGGCGCGTGCGTTGTACATAGTAGCTTATGTATGGTACAAGTTACAAGAGAATGACTTAAATGTTTTTTTGTTTTGGATGTTATATTAATATTATATATAGGAAAGAAGGTCTGTCCGTCTGCTTCGTTTAAATAGCTAATACGGTTTTTGAAGAAATTTTATTTAGGGGTACTTTGAATAATTAAATTTCTATGTTCTATATGCAGTATTCCACAAAATGAAAAAATACTGAGGCTCTTAATTCTTTTATATTGAACATATTTGCGTTTCTAGGGAATATGAACATGTATACGTATTTTTTTTAATTTGAGGTTTACTAGTAAAGTTTTTTTAGGTTTTTTCTTTTTCTTTCTCAAATTCACCTAAAACAACGAATCACATTAAGACTAGCTATTATTTATTAATAACTCTTATAACTGAAATACAAACATGTTAATACTTTCTTAGATTTACGCGAATATTGGGCATTTTAAATAAAAATCAATATTTTAAATAAAAAATATCCGAAAAGATACTTTTATTTAGAAGCATGAAATATAAAAGTGTGGGAGCTTTTTGCATATAGCACACACGAAGAATATTAGATATGTGAGAATAGCGTCAAACAGATATAGCTCTACCAAATAATCTGTTATGAATGAAATAATGTATATGCGAAAATCGTACATTATTTCAAAAATTTCATGCGTAATACTATCTATACATATAATAAAACTGTAGAGTTCGAATATTTGTACATAGAAAAAAATGCTAAAAACCGAGTCAGGTGGATGTAAGAAGAGAAATAGAGCAAATCCAGTTTTTTTCATATTTTTTGTTTCTTTGTCTGTTTGTACGGGCTAATCTTCGAAACTGTTGGACAGATTTAAATGAAATTTTGCATGGTGGTACCTGACATCCCCGGTCAACATTTTAGATACCTTTTGTTCCGGAAAACCAAAAATTCCCGTGGGATAGTTAAAAAACTATAGTAACTTATACAGCTTAGTACACAAAAAGTACTGATTAGACTTTTATGAAACTGTACTATAATATAGTTCAAACATCAGAATAACAAATAGGCTACTTTTTATCCCGGAAAAATATAATTTTTCCTTCGGATAGATTTGTTTTTGTTTGTTTAGTAGAGGCGAACTCGGGCAAAGCGAGGGTGAGCCGCTAGTATCATAATAATGTTCCTTACATTTTAAAGAGGATTTTCTTTCATTTAGTGAAACAAAATCATCAAAATCAGCTTAGAATAGATGTTCATGTAATAAGTATGCCAAAATTAAGGAAAAGTGTTAGTAGTGTGAAATACATAGACTAAAGAATTAGGTATATAGATGGTGACAGCCAAAAAAAATATCAAAGCTAAAAATAGTAGCGTATTTTGCTATTTATGCTACTATTCTCCATATCTCGATTGTACTGTTTATTTTGTATTTTTTAGCATTACGAGTAGTTCGTTTTCCCTTGAAAGATATTTTTTAATAAAAAGGAATTATAAAATAATATTAGTTTCTTTTTATTATACTAAAATCTTTTAGCTATTTTTATTTATTAGCATTTATTTACATATCACAGCAATGAATATTTTATTAAGATTTGTATTCTGTTTTAAAAACTTATATGATGCTAGCGGCTCACCCTCGCTACGCTCGGGTTCGCCTCTAGAAAAACACTAATAGAGATCTATTAGTTCCCACGGGAACCATTCATTTTTCCGGGATGAAAAGTAACCTATTGTTTGATCGGAAATATAAGGTATCAGAATGTTAAATTTTACTAAATTAGGTGCATAAGTTGTTGTGTACTAAGCTGTATAAGATATTATAGTTTTTTAACTATCCCACGGGAACTCTTTAATTTTCTAGGATAAAAGTATCTAAGATGTTGACCGGACATATAAGGTACCACCATGCAAAATTTCATTTAAATCGGTCCAACAGTTTCGGAGATTAGCCCCTACAAAAAAAAAATTAAAATAATCTGGATTTGTTCTATTTTTCTTCTTAAGGGATGTAAGAAGATAACTGACTCGGCTTTTAGCATATTTTTTTCTACGTACATTCGCCCTCTACAGTTTTATTATATTTATAGATAAAATAAATAACATATAATAAAATAGTAATATATAATAATGAAAATAATTATAGCGAGTGTACCTTAGGAGATAGACATATACTATTAAGATCTTTTCTATCGACCTTTTTTAGACTTACAATTTTCTTGTACAATGTTTTGATCTATCTCTTAAGGTTGAGCCAGCGTTAGCCATACCTATATTTAAATTTCTAAAGACAATTCGATAGAACCAGTTATTGTGTTTTCGCGGGGGAATGAATAATTTGCCTATCGTATAAGGTATCCTAAATGTTGACCCGAGTACTAAGTTGTCACTATACAAAATTTAGTTAAAATCAGTTCAGTACTTTTAGCGTGAAACGCACACATCGATTTGACTAAGTTAGTTTTATCATAGGTATAGATAAGAATAGATATTGCTTAGGAGATATACATATACTATTCAGAACTTTCCTGTATTACTTTTCAAAACCTACTATTTTTTAGTATATTTTTTTGATGAATGTATGTCTTAAGGTTTAGCCAGCCGAAGGTTTCTAGGGAGGACTCGATAAAACCAGTTATTGTATCTTCTCGTGATAAAGAAAGATTTTCTTGAAGTAAAAGGTATCCTAAACGTTGAATCAAGTAATAAGTTATCACCTCACCAAACGTTGAAATCGGTTCATTACTTTTCGCGTGAAACGCGCATACAAAAACAGACAAACAGACATACAGGCAAACAGAGAAACAGACAGAGAAACAAAAAAAATGAAAAAAAATTTGGATTTGTTCTATTTGTCTTCTTACATCCCCCTGACTCGGTTTTTAGCATTTTTTTGCTATGTACAGATATTTTACCTCTACTGTTTTATTATAGTATAGACTTGGGACAGACCCGAGCGAAGCGAGGGTTAGTAAGTTCGTTTTAACGATTAGTATGGAATAGATAGAATAATATATTAGTAGCCTTGCTCAGTGAACAAGTTATCTGATGTAAAAATAATTTTTCATATCGAATTAGTAGTTCCTGAGGTTAGCGCATTCAAACAAACAAACTCTGCCTCTTTATAATATTAGTATAGATTTTAAATCATTATCGCTTATGAAACTGTCTATAATATAGTAGATTAGTATAAATAATAACCCTTCTGTAAATTCAGTTAAAATTTCGTAAATAATAATTTAAAAGATATCAAAGTCTACGAAAGCTTTCATTCCTCCAATATCACGAACACGTCGTGAACTTGTCATAAGTAACAGTTTACAATATATTTCCATCAGAAAAGCAACATTTAGTATGATTTCGATACATGTCTGATATTTATGAGTGTACTCTTAAACGATTTAGTGCCCATAAACATCTTTACTCGTCGTTCATTCTTTAAAAATGA